GGAGAATTCTTCCCTCGGCTATCTACTTGGTGGGCTCCTTATTATCACTCAGGTCAGCTGTACTGTCACTTCTGTAGTGAAGCCTTCCCCAACACAGTCTGTCATATTTTATATCACTCAAGTTTCTCATCAACCTGAAATCATCTCTTTCAATTTTCTTATTCAGTGTTTTCCTCCACATCGTTCCATCCCCACTCCACACACTAGACACTAGACTGTTAGCTCTGAGAATGCTGTCTCCTCTACAACTGTGTTTCTGGCACTGAGAATGTTACCTGGCCCATAGTGGAGTCTGTATAAATACTTGACTGAATGAATGAACTGATGAATGGAGCTTGAGGGAGAGATTAGGCTTAGAACTTTAGGAAACTGAGTCCTTTAAGTATCACCCTGTCACCTGTGCTGCTTCTTTCATCTCTAGAAGTTTCTTCATTCCTGCAACAAACGTCTACCACAGAATTGCTGCTATATATTCTCAAGTCTCCCAGAGAGGAGAAATGTGAGAACTTAAGAGCCTTAAAAGTATAAAGATCTTGGAAGAGCCCCAACCTCCCACCCCTGCCCCATACTGGGTTTTGGAACATTTGACCATGACATGTGAAAATATTTCTGCTCTATTCTCACTGAGAAACTTTATGTGCAGGTTATGGTCATTGAGAGATCGACAGATACTTAGTTGGAACAAATAAAAGCTACTCTGCATTATATAAAATATACATTTGTATATAAAGTCTTTAATAAAAAGTATCACCCTGCTACTCTTCTGAATCTGCATCCCATCCTGGTCTGAGGATCAAATAAATTGAAGGTAAAACTCAGCAATCCTCCATCACACATAGATGGTTGCTTTATACTTGCTCTCAGGAGGAGGTAATGAATCTATAGAGAAAGTTGCTTCATGTCATAAAAAACATAAATCAATTAAAAGAGGCCATCATCCACGACTTGTGACTAATAGCATAAACTCTGAAGAATATTCACATTACAAAAATGTCTTCAATTGAAAAAGACTATGACAAGGAGGCGTTGGCGGGAAGATGATGATAAAGAACTCTGCGCTCATCAAGATCTATTACCGTCAGACACTCTGCTATGGAGGTTTTAATGTCACCTCTGAAAAGTGGGTCTAATCATCCTTATCTTACAGATAAGGGACACTACAGGAGTTTGACCTCTCTGTCAGGGAGAGAACAGTGACGTACATTTGTGCCTCCCTTTTAAGGTAACCGCATGAGACATCAGAAGTAGTATTTAATGAGTTCTCTACAGGTTGATGAGAGGAAGACAAACAACCAAGTGGGTAAAAAGGCAAAACATATGAGAAGGAGTTTCATACGGGGATACATGAATGCCTGTGAACATAGGCAAAGATGTCCTACCTTGCCAGTAAATAAAGAAACGTACAATAAAATCACAAGATAGCTTTAAAATCATTGGACTGGCAAATGTAAAAGTGTGACATTACCAAATATTGGCAAGAACATGAAGCACGAAACCCTTACCCTCTGAAGGAATGAGTGTCGAGAAAATTAAGGATTTTTAAATACAGTCAAAGATACACCTACTCAATGCTCTTGCAATTTAACTCACTAAACAACCTCTCAAAAACCCACACAAGAGGACATTACAAAAAACGGCACCACAGCACTATTTTTAAGAGCAAAATATAAATTTGAAACAAATTAAATGTCCGAAGCTGATGGACACATAAATTGGGGGCATATTCACACAATGAAATGCTATATTATATAGTAGTGACCTCGAGTGAAGAGCCGCGCTTCTCAAAATATTTGATTCTCATAAATATAATGCTGAGTGAGAAAAAACAAGTTATGCAAGTATAGAATGTAGTACTTTTTATATAAAGACTAAAAAGTCCTAACAAGAATACTTTATATTGCTTAAGGAATATACACACACACATACACAGACACACACATCAAGATGAGAAGCACTAAGCTTAGGATAGTGAGTCTAGTGGGTGGGAGAGGCATATAGAGAAAAATTGGTAATTATTATTTCTGGAGCTGAGTCTTACTTACATAGCTTATGACTCATTTTTAATTATTTAGCTCTTAAATATTTCATGATACACATTATATATATGTATACACACACACACACAAAGTAGAAATTAGAAATAATAAAGTGGTTCAATTAAGGAAATTTCAGCATAAAGCAGCATTTCTCATGGTCAAAACAAAGCAAACCTGAGCTTTTCCACCTGGAACATCCATAAATAAATCCTGTTTGAATTCCTTCCTTCCTTTTTCTCCTTAGCAAACAATGCTATCCAGTCTCTCTCTTTTTTCAAGGAAATTGAGAACCTGCAGTAAATGTTTTGGTTTTCTGTTGTTTTTAATTGCAAAGGTTCCAATCCCCCAATCAGTTCTGCTTTCAAAGCCAGTGGAAACACATTTGACGTGAAAAACAGCCCCGGAAGTGTTAAGCGTCTGATCCATAATGCCACTAGCGAAATGAAATGTCACACATGTCCAGTAAGAGAGAGGCCCTGAAAGGGGCCGGGGTGGCCCATCTTAACTTCATAAACTTTGGGGCAACCGTCTTGGTTAGACTTGGCACACATGTCAATCTTCAAACCATGAAACAAACAAACAAACAAACAAACAAACAAACCCAATCTTCAAACCATGAAACAAACAAACGAACAAACAAAAAAAACAAGATAAAACACAAACTCGTCAATTCATTAGGTAGCAACCGAAAAAGACAGATAAAACACGAACTCGTCAATTCATTAGGTAGCAACCGAAAAAGACAACAAAAATAAAAAGATTTAGAAACAACTTTCGACACTGCTTATAACAAAAGTTATAAGTGCGAGGCACTGGACATTATTTATAGTAACACCTTTGTTTTGTTTTGGGTGGGGTATAAATTTTGCAAAATACATATGTACAGAAGAACCTCATTTAATACTGATGTCAAGGCAACATAATAAAAATCTCCACTTACAACTTAATAGAAGGAGTCCCCGAGAGCCTTTAAAAAGATCTGTGACATCAAAACCATTTTCATAATAATATTAAGACCTTATTATTATGTTTTAAATTCTCATTCTCTCACCAGTATATAGTGGACTTTTTCAGAGGTTACATGACATGTACCATCATAAGAGATTAGATGAAGAAGCAGATATGAGGATCCATGTGTCTTCTATTAAGTTAGAATTAAAAAGAGATTTCCGAACACTGAGTATGAGTATGTAGTCGTTTGCAGAACAATATCACTTTCCTCAATAAGTCTGTTTGGCAAAGTATAGTTATTTTTCATAAAATGGATGATGTTTATGTTTGCAAATAATGAGTTGATTGTTATGTAAAATAAATAAGAAAATAAATGTTTAAAACACTCTCCATTTTAATTTTTATCATGGTATTACTGATGACAAAACTCACATAAATAAAAGCACTTTGGAAACCTCAATTATTTTGATGAGTGTAGACACTGGCAAACCACTGGCCTCCAGCCCATCTCAGGAAGTTTTCTGACAATGCAATTGCTTCATCCCTCACCTGCTCCTGAGATTGCTTCTGACTCACTGTCTTAAATCCCACAAAACCCACCTGTTGAATGGTGATTATATCTTATATTTTTTTTTCTAAATCTCAGGGACCCCAGGGATATCTCTCTGGGCTGTCTGTCCCCTGATGGCCAGGACGACAGGCCCCTGTTGATTTCCTTTTACTAAAGTTTCAGACAGAGGTCTTCCTGCTCCCGGTATTTGAACATCACCAGGGGATGTGTGTTTTCCAGAAGTTAACGGGCACGACTCCCGCAGATAAATGATATTCCTTACAAGTCATGCGAGACTGCGCCACTTTTGAGGGTGTTCTATGTAGCCCAGTCAGGGGCATGTAATAACTCCTCACACGGGGTTTGGAAAGGAATGAATAATTCATTTATAGAGTTAAGCAGGCATTACGAGTGAGGAAAGCCTTATTTACTACCAGAAAATTGGTCAACAAGGCTTCAAACTCACTTCCTAGTGTGACGCCACAGTCCTTCTTCCTACACTTCTCCTGTAGAAAGTAGGCCTGCCCCGCCCACGGTGGCAATGGCCAGCCTACTATGGAAATACCTGGCGAGGTTCGGTCCCTGGGGTCAGATCCTCCACTCTCCACAGCTCATGCAAGTTCGCATCGTGTCCGGCACGTAGACATCGGGCTGGGAGACCGCGGCGGAGCTAAGCCCGGCTAGGCGC